AATCACACATTGTTTGAATACAACATATGACCAAAAATGCAAATCATTACAATACTATCACTTATTATAGCAATTGGTGAGACTGTGGCGCAAACCAATCCCTGGGACCCACAACCAGGTGACGGTGATCTCTGGCAGATCTTCCACCAGAATCTGGTGAACCAAACCCGTAGACACAGAGTGGATGAGAGGATGATCTTCGTGGGCGACTCACTCACCCAGTATTGGCTGATATTGGGTGAACCCGTTTGGGCCAAACACTACACACCCAGACATGCCTACAATTACGGCATCGGTGGCGATATGACACAGAATGTGATCTTCAGAATACAGAACCAGGAGTTCGATGGACTCCGACCGGTGGTCACCGTACTTATGATCGGTTTGTATTCAATTCATACTTAAAAATACAATTTTTTAAAATTGAAAATTTATTATTAAAATCTGTTTTCATTGATATTTGTATTTCAATATAATCTGTTTTCAAAGTAAATTTAATATTAGTTATAATTTTTAAATTACGATCAAACTGTATCAAGGTGGTAATAACTTTTGGCGCACAAACGATACGGTGGCTGATGTGGCCCATGGGACCCAGGAGATTGTCAATGAGTTATTGGCTAAAATGCCCACAACCAAGATCATTTTGTTGGGCAACATACCGGCGTCCATACCCGGGCTGAATGAGAAACTCCTGCAACATACAGCATTGATTAGTAAGCTGGCTAATAACAGGAATGTCTACTTTCTGGAAATGTGGACTCACTTTTTGGACAATAACCACAACCAGAACCTAAACCTGTATATCCCGGACGGCGTACACCTGAATGAGTTGGGGTATGAGGTGTGGCAGCAAACCATGGACCCATTGCTCAACAGATTGTATCCAAACATTATTTGCTCAAGGTTTTATTCATTTTTCTGTTAGTATGGCTCTCATATACTGGTAAATTATAAGATAATAATTAAAATATTATATAAAATCAATGTTTGCTTATATGAAAAATTTATTTTTTACATTTTAAGACAATTGTAATTTTTAAATATCTTGTATAAATATAACGATTAAAATAAATAAATGATTAATTTAAAATGTTTACTTAATTAATGAACAAATTTTCTTGAATGAACATTGTATTGTATAATAATAGCTAAAATATTTAGCTTGTTATAATTATTGAATGATTAGCAAATATTACTATTATGTAATATTATATTTTCTAGCTACTTATTACTTATCAAATTAATTGTTATAATAATTTAACAATATTATTAAATTTAATATTTAATGTATTATTTTTTGTGATTCTATATAAATATCTTTTATACCATATTTAGTGTTTTAAAAATTATAATTATTTAATATATCAACAAAGGTTATACCGGTATATTAAAAAGCTATTTATTTATTTCCATTAAATCAAATACAATATAATAATCCAGTATTATTTTAATTTTACAAGTACGTAAACAATAAACAACTGACTATATTTTGATTAAATATAATTAACTTGTACAAAGTCTAGACATGACAATAAAGGGGACTTAAATATTTTGCTAATAAGTTACTTTACAAATAAACAAAAAATAATTAATTATCAAGTTAAGTAATCATGAAATTGCTATTAATTACTAATTTTGTATCTATTACTGTCGAAGCTCTGAGTTGTGTATGACCTAATGCAGACCAAATCTGTACACAGTAGGGAATGTTCACAACAGGGAATGTCAACAACAAAAAAGAATTTTGCCAACTTTACCAATATCTGGCAATC